CGATACTAGTTGCCCAGTCCAATCACTGGACACAGACTCCTTAGAATGATAACAGACCTTTTGGGTGATCCTCCATCATCACCAAAACTTGTGATGGCATCATTTTTGGGATTCCAGCATGTTATTGTATCGAAGAAACCTTTCATATGCAGTCACAAAAGTTCTGGGGTCAAAAGGGAGTCTCCTTCTGACAGATGTGATCCCTTTTCCATCAGGAAAACGAACTGCAGGTTCACATCTCAGGATAGAACCATTTTCTGTAAGTTTTCGTCGATTAGCTGCCCAAAGTCGCGGAATTACACGGAGGACAGGTTGCGTTCCTTCCCTTTACCTCCCTAATACTGGTTGGTCATGTGGTTCCTCTCATAGCATGTTCACCTCCTACAACCTGGGAACGTTCTCTCCCAGTTCTACACGTTCCTGACCCATAAATTGCAATTCATAAAGAAACGTTTTTGTTGCTTGCGTGTGTGTGTGTGTACGTGCATGTTTGGTTTTTGTGTGGGCAGAGGGTAAGGGGACGTGGAACGTCTCTTGAGAGAATTCCCATGACGACAAAAATGACGACGGTTACTGTATTTGGGGTACGAGATATGGCTGTAAAACTTCGGGCGCTCTGAAAATGTTTCCTTCACACCAACGTTATTTACACCATCACATCACGGCAGTTCTCTGTGTTGTTGGAATCCATCTATCAAATGGAATTGCTCCCGTCCAATTGGTTGCGAAGGAGCAGAGTCTGTCCGGGGAACGTGATGAGTCCCCCAGTCAGTTCTCGGGAGCAGATAATTCAGAGGGACCTCAGTACGACATCCAGGGTGGTGACACCCCGATACGGTAGACTGGCACGTGATCGAACGTCGCCCAGGGCGTGCTATCGATCGATTGGGAGTGTGCCGACATCGTAAAACTTGGCCACCGCGCGCTCGTCGCGCCCTTCCAACACCCTATTCCTTCCCTATTTATGACGGGATTAAGAATGATCTTGTCAAAACACCACGGGTGGCCCTAAAATCACCGGAATTGCCTCTAAACAGTCATTATTCCCTTATTGATCGATCGCTTCTTATGCCGTCGTACTACGGTATATCACCAATCAATCAATCAGTATTCTTTCTATTCAGATATTCTTTACGATCCGTGAACGTCAACTACACACCACACCTATGCTATGATTTCGGTGATGCAGATGATGAACAACGGTCCGAACAACAGGTACGTCTAGGCGGAATCGATTTCTCCGTCCGTGAATTCGTCCATTGCGTACCACACACACACCTATCGGCTGCTGAGGATCATACGCCGATTGGTGGCGCCAATTAGCCGCCACCCCATTCACCACCATCACCATAGCCAGTTATTCTATAGTGACGACGAGCACACAGTAGTGCCTAATCGCAAATTGGGTAATTGTTCTATTTACGAGATTTTTTCGTAAACTTCAGCGCTCGCTCATAGTGATCCCGGCGGCGGCTGCGTCGTCGGAGTCGGCCAGAACGCCAGAACCGCACTGACTGACTGCGCCACTGTGGCCGTTGGGGTGATCGTCAGACANACAGCCAGCCAGTCAGCTGTACGAGCATCGCTAGTGTCCAGTTTTAATCATTCCTGACTAAGGAATCCACCCCTACCCGAGTTCACCCCACGACTATGGTTGGTCTATTCGCAAATGCTTATTACAGCGGCTTCAATCTGAACCCCGGAACCGGAAGAAGTCTACCGACTGGAGCCTTTTGGCCACAACAACCTCAACAACCAACTAGTGATGCACAATCAGAACGGAGTAACAGTGAAGCATCCCCGCCTGTCGTGCCAACCAGGTAAGAATCGTTAAAGCTGGATATTGTGGATGAATTTGATTTGGCCTTAGTGTTAGATTTAGTACGACGGTCAATCACATGGCTCATAACTACACGCCCGGTTATCCGGAATGGCAAGCCGCGCAGAAAGCTTTTGCAGCAGCACAAAGTGTGAATGGCGCCGCTGCCGGAACCAAATTTCCGCCAGGACCCAGTGGTAAGGTTGCTTTGAATTGTTCAAGGTTCATTGCTGCTTGTCCTTTTCGTTCTTCTGAATCGGTAGGATTCCAGTAGAGCAATTTGCAAATATTTTGCGATTTATGACACCATTTAATTGTCCTTTAAACATATGCAAGTTGGAAGGGTTACTGTATTCTCCCAAGTGGTTTCTGGTCAACTGTGCAGGTAATGTAGGCAGCTTGGACTGATTCAGGGATGTCTCTTGAGTTTTCTAAGTCGGGAACTATTTGAAACCATTCCGTAATGCTAGTGAAGGGAAGAGAGGGGAGAGCCTAGGGTCCAATCAGAATATTTGCCTAGGACAGCAAACCTTGGCCCAGAGGCCTAACATAGTGGACCGACCTTCTACAATGATTAAGTTTAGGTTTCGACATGATGTCAGCAGCAGTGAACCCAATGTGTCCGCCAGAATTCTATCATCCCGGTATCACGTGGCCCGGTTACCAATATGGGCAACAATATCCGTTCGCTACTGGACCTTATGCCCAACATATGATGGACATCCCTGGCCTGACAGGTTCGTGAAGTTTGAATCTTTCACTTCTAGCTTTTTGTGAATTACCTAGTACCCTTTTTACAGGTAGGCTTTTTTCTTGGATTTCCCTTCATTCAGACTGCCTTGGGTTTGATCCAACATCCCGGAATAGAAACTGCGTGGTGGGAAGAAGGGAGCATGGGATAGGGACCCAAGTGATTCAACGGTTAAGAGTCATGGATGGGTGAACAAAATTACGGCAAAAATGCATCTAGAAGTGATAATAAACATAATAGAGGCATAAATTCAAAAAATAATTCTGATCGATGGTTTGGAAGAAGCTTTGCCATGAAATCGGATGAAATACGACTACCTAGACCGGCCATGTAATCATTCATACCATGATTTCAAGCCGAGAATGATTAAAACTCTACCTGTACGGCCTTTTACGACGAGTGGGGTAAAAAAGAATTGGAGCAAATACAGAAAGCCGAGATGGGACCTTTCTAGAAGTCGCGTCATGAAATATTCCGGAGAGGGCATTCCATAAAGATCGGGCTTCCGTACAGAGGGCCAAAAAAAGCCCTGTACTTGTCGACAATGTGTCGTCTTGATGTCGTCGGTATTGGCTGGGTGGTCGATGAAAGACGAGCAAATAACCGAATCGATATCGCCTCGCCGTACCATTTACGATGGTCATGAAACTGCCCCGTCCCCGTCTATTTCCACACACACACACATATACACACACGCTACCATCCCATCGCCAGCATTCGGCCTACCCATCTATTCCACCTAGGGACATGGACTACTCCCTCATAGTCCTGCTGCTTGTGCAGAACTCAAAAGTTCAGTACCCGGAACCATTCACTTATTCGCGATTACTGTACCTACCGTAGCCGGGTGGATAGCGCGACGTGTCATCGGTGTCGGGCTCTTTCAAGTTGTCGCGCAAGAACGACGACGATTTCGTCTGACGTCCTCCGTCTCCGGTTTTCAGGTACACCGACCCAAGTTCGATTTCTTTTTGGTTTCCGTTTTCCATTCAAGTTTTCATTACCATTATCCCTTATAGAATAGTTATGACCAGTCGCTCGCGTTTTTCCCCGGTGATGAACTTTCTTCCCGTCTGGGAGTCAATAACATGATTGCAGAGTCCTATAAAGTTATTTTCACTTGAGGCGTCAAAAAGGGTTCCCGGAGTGAAAGTACATTGCTCCATGGGGACTCAAAAGTTCCAAAAGGCTGTCCTCCACTTCAAATGCTTATATCTTTTCCCATAGCCTTTCCTTTCCCCCTCTAATTCTTCCTTGTAATCGTGGATATTAATTCGGCTCATAGTAAATGATCGACAGACTACTTACAGTGCCCAACTTGACTTGATTTAACCCTCCTTGAACGAAAACCATCCTTGGTTGCGAAGTAGCTGACTACCAAGCGATTTCGAGAATGGTAAAAAAGGGTATTTGGGACCAGCCTGCGACTCCAACCTTGGCTGTTCCCTTTTTCAAACTGATTCCTTGTTTCCGACTGAAATACATAGTCGAAGGTGCAAAGTACGGAAGAACGTCCTCACTGACTCCCCCGAATGGCCCGGCCCGTTTATAGAATTATCGCTTTTCGACGATCAAGTTCAAACAATGTAAAGTCCCCTGAATCATTTTCAATTTCCATCGACTATCAGGTTTGCCTCATGAACTTCTTCGTCAAGTACGAAGTAGACGTTTCCCCAACTCTTGCAAATCATCGAAAAGTGTTTGAAAACGTCNACTCATTTCCCAGTGGAATCAGGTTACAGTTCCAGTAATGAGGAGAACAGGTCTTTATATATCTTTCTTTGAAACCATCAAACTTTGGTTGAATATGAATTTTATAATCCATTATTACTTATTTATTATGTCTTTATTTACTTTATCAAAAGAATATTGAGACAGATACATGACTTTTCTTGACTCCAAAGACTCCCACTATCAATTTTAAATAAATCCCCATGAGAATAATTTTTTGGCTCCCCTTCGCGAAAAGTCTACAGGACTTCTAAAGGCCTACTGTCTGGCTTGTTCAAAGGATGGAGTTGGGCCTATATTCATGCTCCTCCAGGAAAGCCCCTCCATGTCTAATCTCCTAGGTGGGCCGTGGAAAAATAGTTTCCTTGTTTTTGGCGACTATTGGAATTCTGAATACCATTTCAATCCTGTCTACCATTGGAATCTAAACACAGGAATGTTTCCCGAATTACCTGAATGGTTGACTAATTCAATTATCAAAAATATTATTAATTTCTTATCCATCGATCTGCTCGGAAACATCAATTTCTGGGTTGCTGTCAGTTCATGACTTTGTAAGAATCGATTACTACATAAATATGATAATGGTTAGCAAAATGGAGAGGTTAAAAATTAATTGAGGCATATAATACTGGTAAATGAAGAGTTACAAATTACAACTACGGTAATGGAGTTCAAATGACCCATCGCCAATCGATCCAGATTGATTTGTCACTAAAGCAGATCGGTTGGGAGATTTGGACCAGCTTACATTTCCCACGAATTCATTGTCGTGCTGACAAGATGGACCTTTCCTAATAGGAAAGTTCCCACAACTTGTACGTCCTGAATAAGCTCCCAATCCCGAATCATCAGCTGGCCTCTGGGTATGGACCAGCCGGGTTCCATCCATTATCTTCACTTATGCAAACATTTTTATCCATTTTTAGGAGCCCACTTATGGAGGTCTAGATTGATGAACTTCGGCTCTTATAATGACCCCGATTTTATCGATTGGTTGATTCACAATATATTTTCAAACTATCTGCATCACTTCAACCTATAACTAATGCTTTCTGCTTGTGTCAAGAGGTAGCTGGGGGCTTTTTTCTGGGCGTAACACCCTCTATGAACCCTTTTTCTTTCCTGTTCACTTAAAAAGTGTAAGTTGAAGGGGTTCAATGAATTGCACCTTGGGCTTGCCGGTTTCAACACGCCTGGGATGCTCCCAGATCCCAGAAAGACCCAGATGTGGGAATCTGTAGACTTAGGTACCACAGTGTCTAGCGGGACCAACCGGATGAGCTATCCCCGGTAGCGGGTCTGTCGGAGCAATCAAAGTGTACACTACCTGCCAGCGCTGCACACAGCAGAACGCTAGCGCATTGCAGCCGTACAGACGCCATCTGGTCTATAAAAGTAGCGCCGTCGCATTTAATTAAGCTGTAAATGCTAGCGGCCCTCGGTAAATGCGGTAGTGGATAATATTGAGTGTGGGACAGCTCAGTATCAGTAAGCAAATCCCCCTTCTCCCCAATTTCCTTCCCTCCTCCCTTCCTACCCCCAGAGCATTCCAATCCAGTCACTCGTTGAGAGGTGCATTCCGAAAGCGAGCACTGTTGTAGGTTTTACGACGCCACCAGATCGACTGCACTTACGGGGAGATCCGTTTTTCTTCAACTCGGCTACGGTAATCTCATTCCGAAGCCAATTAGTCGCATGGATATCTGCATCTGGGTGTCCCACACGTATATACATAGAATGAGCGGTGCTGGATGGCAAAAAGCGCTCACACGAGCTGGTCCTGGCTACCGTATCCCCAGAAACGATCGCTGAGGAGAGTGCGCGCGTGCATGCATGCGTGCGCTCCCGCTAATTGTGAGGTGTGTTTTTAATCCGAAAATGCATACTCGACGAGTCTTTATCGTCATAAAACGACGGGCGATCGGCAACGGGATAGTTGTCATGGGAACGATCAGCGCTGTAGGCTCTCCCCTCTCCTTGGGTCAACATGAAGTTTATTTGAGCCTTAGCTTAAAGGCAAAGGCCACCTACCCTTGTAAGGGCTGCTCCTCTGCCTGACTACGGTTCGGCTTACACTACCATACAGTTTCAGTGGTAGACAGAGCCCCGATTTGATTCACGGAAGATTTTTAAGACCAGCGTTTACTTTGGTGTCCCAAACGCCTCAGTCTGTCTCCCTTTGGAGCGGAAATTTTGCCTTTTCACATAATATCGATGGATATTTCCCTAGTGGTCCACAAAACAAACCAACAGACATTTGGAGGACCGAAGTAGAGTGAGACAGCTCATGTTATGCCCACCATAAGGGCCGCTCCATAGTTTTCTTGCTGAAAGGGTATCGTCTCCCGGATAGTATCAACGGGTGCGGGGTTCTGAGTCCCAAAGAAAATGGGCCAATCAGGATGGAGCAAAATTCAGGTCAGAAACCTGGTTTTACAGTGACCTTATGAAGAAGTACGATACAAAAGACGTAGAACTTCAAAGGCTGATCCCATCTGCACTTTTTTTCTGGTTGTGTTGTATCACAACTGGGAGTTCGAGCTAGGACACAACACGTAAGTTACTGGGAGAATGGGGTGCTCATGCTGAATTTTCTTTTTGCCCAGTCTTAGATGAGACGTCGCAGTGGGACTCCATACTCTTATAGAAGCAATCTTTTCAATAGTTTCCTTTCTTATCCTTCCCAAACCAGCCTGGGGAGAATGTGAAATATTTGGAGCGGGAGGGCGGAAACATTTAGAACATTTGGTACCCGACTGGAACGACATTCTTTCCAATACCATAGTTGTTGAAGAGTTTAGCTTTGAAAGGGATAGATATCGATTCCACCAGTAACCATTCTAGTTATGCCGGTCGCCTTACACTGTATTCGCCATTATTTCAATGGCAAGTCTAGCAGAACTTACTGTAATAATTGCTGAATTGCTCGTATTGTTGAGTCAGTTAGTACGGTAGGCCCCACACGACGTTGACTGGTCGAAATTTCGGAAACTATGCACTTCTTTGAGTACATAGTGGTAGGCCCAAGTGAAGGGACCAGCTTTTTGGGACACTCTGTCCTCAGTCAATCGGTACCCAAGAATTAAAAGGCTCAAATGGCTCAAAGCCTAGTGCCTGAAAGTCAGATGTGGTGCTACTCGTGCTGGTTCACGGATAACTATTGTTTGAAGTACCATCACCTCGACCCTTCTCTTGTCTGGGACTTCTTACCCAAGTCCCTTCTCGTATGCTCCAAAAAGACAACCGTGGGTCCCCTACAAAGCTCAAAGTTCCTCTTTTCCTTTGATTCCATCTGCCCCGGCTATAGTCAGGTTGTCCAGCCTTCTCTTTGTACTGTATGTTTGCATTCGGCATTGCCCGACAATCGTAGGGCAGCACACACCATAGGATGAGACATTTCTGTACTTTCTCCCAGTGCACGGCTCCACGGGAGAGCAAACATTCTGATGGCGTTTCATCCGCCTGAGGCAAAAAACCCGTCTTAAGAATTTTCTTGAAAAAGGAGAATTCCCGAACAGGCTGTGGAGGAAGTTCTGAGCGATAGAGTTTCCAACCAGCTCTGTGTGTGTGACTGCTTGAATCTGACGTTTTTGAAGACGAGTCCTTGGCGAGTGGATCGTAAACCAGCCTCACTCAACAGTGAGAAGACAGATGGCGAATAGCGATAGGCGCGACTTCTTTTCACTGGGGCACCCATCACTAAAAGCCGCCCCTCTGCCTGGTGCCTGAAAAGAATCCCGCCACCGTAAAACATGACAAAATACCGTACTTTGGATGTACTAGCCTGTGAACAAACGTCAATCTCTCACAGCAGCAAAAGTACACAATGTAGCGAAATAACTGTTGGCAACGTAAAAACTCGTCCAAGAATCGGCCAATCAAGAAGAAGTAGCCCACTTTTCAGTTTAGAAACCAACTAAATTTTGAGAGATGGTTCACTCCCATTATCTTCCGAGTATTCAACCGGAATCTCTTCTGTAGGGCTTCTGATAGGTCTTTTAGGGCATCCATATGGTTGGGGGACTGGGTTTTCGGCGTAAGCAGTGCTCCTGCAACTTCAGAGAACCAACTGAGCTTTTCAAGGGGTACCTGTGAGTTGACTTGCTTCTTTTTTCTCCCTTACTGCCCTAGATGGAAATGCCCTAAGGGCTTTTCAAAGTTTTCCAAGAAATTCGTATCCACAGATCGAAATGTGTCCTTGTCAGTGGATATCTGAGTCCATCTGATCACGTTCTCTTGTCGTTCCATAGATTCGTTCCCGTGTGAAGTTTTTCCCTATTGACTCACCCTGATAAATGCAGTGAATCTTGGAGCCCCCCTTTCATCTCGCCGACAATCACATTCGAACTGACACTTGACGAAAAACACAGCCAACCAGCCAGTACACCTTGCTGACGCTTCATTGATTTGATGGGGAAAAGAGGGACCGTTGATATACTACTCCAGCCATGAACCAACTAACCTCAGTAGTTGATCAAATAAGTAGGACAAGATATATATGGGAGTTTCAGAAGCCTGTGCTCAAGGTGCCCCCCGCCTACAAGTACCAGTTGAACTTTAAAATCGAGATCCTATTTCCGCTGGAATGACAGAAGTGGGGCAATGCCAGATGGGGTCGCTACCCCATATGTGATTTGGGGATGGACATATTCCTTGAATCTCGCTAAGCAAGCTCCCCACGGCTTCTCCCTGTTAGGAACAACAACAATTGGATCCTTATATGTACTGCTGCCTCCCTTCCCGCAATTGATAGAGGTAACCGGCCGTTGAGGGGCCCACATGTAGGGTATTCAGGATAAGGCCCCACAAGGATTAGCCTCCGAGACTGCTCAAATTGTCCCTTAAATAATAATAAATAGTGACAATAACTGGATCGTAGTCTCAGATAGAATCCGATTTTTTGGAATGAAAGGCCAGCTCAATAATCAGGGAGCGAGAGCTCATAAGAATATTGATCTCATAGTATTGAAACTCATAAACAAAGCTCGAGACATTGGTGGAACGGCATTTAATTAACTTCATGTCAGCAAACAAACCCTTGCCCCGATATTGATTTCATGCCTAGGAACTAGCGCTTTTGAGGCTGAATATCAGGGGCTTTCAGGTGGTCAACTGGTTTGATTGGAGTCTTGGTTGTGCCTCAGTTCTAGTTGAAGCCATGGATTCCCTTTTTCGGTGACTTTTTACTGCTTTTACTATACCGGTTGCTCCAAAAATGTGATAGCCCTTGGTTCAAGGAGTTTCGAGACCAGAGCTGACTTTTTTTGAATACATGGCTCCTCGAACAATTGGGCTAACCCAAGTTTCTATGATTGATTCAATGTTATGGTAATCGTATGTCCGTCGGGATACCTTCTCTTTCTTAGGAGTCTTTTTTAACTACATAATTTCGGCGAAATAGCTATTGCTGCTGTAAAAATAGCTTCCTAAAGTTTTTGAACGTCTTTTAATATCATTTCCCAACAATAAAGAAGCATCAAGTCATGTAGAACAATAGGTATCATCTCAGGTTAGCTCGCTCATTATCAGACTAGGGTTCTGGTCCATCTGAGCTGACATCGCTTTTCCTTCCGATGACGATTTTTCGCAAAACAGCCCTTGGCGAAGACCAGCATTGGTACGGTATTTAATTGTTTTTTGGGTTTAATTTGTTCATAATATAGTTGAAGATGGCCAATAGCTAGCAACCCCGCTAACTGGGACAGCTTTGGGGCTCAAAGCCTATCCTGGCCCTCATCATAGGCCGTCTGAGGTCGTATAGGGCAAGGAAAAGAACAGCTACTCGGATATCACGACAAGTTAACCACGAAATTGGTAACCGAACACATGCGCTAGGGGCGCCCTATTCTTGAACATCTCTAAACAGAAGTCCAGGGGTCCGAAAGCAGCTAATGGAAGCTCTTGATCTCAGGCTTTCTCTCTGAGCCTCATTCTCGAAAGCATCCCTTGAGCTTTATTTAAACTCATTTCAACCTTGAGTAGAGCGGCGTATCGATACGGTAGTGTGAGAACTCGCATCGGCAGTACGGTAGAAGTGGATTAGCAGTCGGGTTTTCTGTCATAATCTTAGAGTCATGCCGAAGCACCTGATGTATCGAAAAAGGGCATACGAAGAAAACGAAATGAGGCCGACCGTATTTGGACTGGTCATTGGCACAATTCAAGAGTCCCCCGGCCTTCATTAGGACCTGATTGTGTCAGAGTTATTGATGGTTATCAGAACGAAATCGTGGCCCTAATTTTCCTCGATGACCTCAGTCCGATTATGGCCCCTCAAGAATCATTGAATCCCGATTTCGACCGCTCAATTCATCAAGGTGTTTGGGGACTTCGATCCTAATCAGTAGTCGAATTCATGAGTTATTTCAGGGTACTCCCTTCTTTTCAGGTCCTTAATAGAATTTTATGTTCACTGGCTATATTCCGAGGTGTCAACGATGCCTATCTAATACTTGAGTACTCGAGTACCTGGCTCTAACCCCACAGCACTCGAAGTAGTGGGGCCTGGACCTCCTTCCTCAACCCTACACCCTTGTAGGCCTCAACTTGGACATCTGATCTGGTTGCCTTTGCGCCTCATCCTCATCCACACTAAAACTAATTCCTTGGATATCAACGTCAATGTCAATGCGGAACTCATTTCGTAGATTTCGCGATGGTATACGGTAGTCATGCAAAACATGATCCAATTAGCCGTCGAGCGCGTTTGCTGCATAAGCCATGGGGACTCGTAAACCTTTTGATTAGATGGTTGGTTTTACGAGTCTACCCTCGCTCCCGTTTGCGGTAGCAGAGTGCCGAAGCCGAAGCGGCAGCAGCAGCTGATGCTTGTCACCCGGCCCGTCTCACCATTCCTTTTAGGAGTGCAGGCATACGATATATGGTTTTATTGCTTTGTTTCTATAGATTGGGTTATAATTGCCCTCTACCAGCTAGTGTTTATGATAGCCAGGTGATTCTACACATGCGTTGTCTTTGGTTGCGCTATCTGCAGCCCAATCTGCGATTGTTTGATGAAAGCCAAAGGAAGGCAGACGGAAGCGGGCTCTACGAGGCCATGAGACTTCAAATGTAGCTACTCAATGGGATTGGCTTTTGCTAGATCCTTCTGAAGGCACAATTACCACGATGACATGATGCTTGAAATAACAAATAAGTCACGTATGTGGTGATGCTGGATAATAGCGAGGAGATTAAAAACAAGTGCGAGTGCCAAAACATAATTCCGAACATTGTACGAGTTGAACTACTATATACCCCGTATTACAGTATGATCCATCTCCATGACGCATTTGAAAGACTGTTCCACATGCTAATCCCAGGGCGTCTTTGACTACAGTGGGCGACACTTTTGAACAAGCTTCTAGCCTTTTTTTCGTCCTATCCATGCTATGTTTCAAATGCAACAACAATATCTCCTCCTGTGGATAAACTACTCCTCCGTAGGTAATCTGCAAAGGGTGCCTTTTCTCTAATTGTGTCTTCAAGACACCTCGACGTGCTGATCCTTAATGGCCTTATATGAGCTAACAATAAGTCAGATATGATTAGTACAGGATAATGGCCTTCACAGAAGCTGAAGCTGAGCATGGGACTATACACAAAGGTGTAAAAGTGAAGAGCATGGTCATGAGAACTGAAAGGAAACTAGTAATTCGATCTTTTTTGTTCCTTATACAACAGTGATGTGTGGCTGGAGGTGGTGTATCGATAAGTATCGCGTTATCACCCTTGTGTGGTCTGTAGATCGAGCCCCGGATTGATACCCAGCCATGCTAACCATGCCTACCGTCCCTTAGGTGTCGGCTAATTTATACCACATTCGCCTTGGAGGATAAATTTATTGACTGTACATCGACTGGCCTCGAAAGTCATTATATGGGCTATATACGCATCCAAAAGCTACCATTCTGAAAAGAGTTTGTATGTGGGGCGCATCCGAAAAGCAGCCTTAATCTTTTATCTTTTACAGCGATTCAAAATTTTCATATTTTTCCATGGATGTGAGGGTTTATTGGCCTTACCATACTCTCCATGAATATATGTTTTTCAGAACCCTCCCTCGACTGGACGGGAAATCATTCGATGCGAAAAAAGCGAAAGCCATATACTAAATATCAGACGTTAGAATTAGAAAAGGAATTTCTCTACAATACCTATGTGAGCAAGCAGAAACGATGGGAATTAGCCCGAACACTTGGCCTAACCGAACGGCAAGTAAAAATTTGGTTTCAGGTAAGATTACTCGATATCATTTTCTAGAGTCAATTAGGAATCACTCACAATTCTTACTTTTTCCAAGATACACGAGTATATTACCGTAAACTTCATATCCGAATGGCAAGATGTTATCATCCGCGTACTTCCTTAAAGGGGTAGTTCGGTGGGGTGCTATAGCCACGAGTTAGTTCCCTTTCGGTTTCCCTGATACTTTTTCCGATGATATATTTCATGGGGGCCCCCTTCTTCCTCCTTTAAGGTAAATCTTTACTTTGTTGGAGGTACTATGGTGCTTTGTGTAGAACTGCAATCGTTCGTTTTCGAGTGAACGTTTTATCCGTTTTCCACTTGGACACTGAATCTTGTGGGCGAAAGTGGTGCAGAGTCAAGTGGCGTACTACCGTGGTCGAGAAAAATCAAATTCCTGATCGATACTTGCCCAGGTTAACCAAGACCTCCATCTCTTCGGTCTTAACTGGTACCCTCACTAGGCAGGGTTGAAGCGCTTACTGGTCACAGCTTGTCATTTCATAGGCCACATATGTATTCATGCCATCACTACAATCCTAGTGGGAGTCGGGGCATTAAAACGTCCCAAAACAAAACCTACAAACGTTAATTACTTCACTTAGTTCTATTACATTTTATGGTCTAACTTGTTATGAGTTATGAGCTTTTAAAATTTTGGATTTCTTCCTTTATACCTGAGTAATTAGCATTTTTCTCATAGAACCGACGGATGAAAGACAAGAAAGTGAAGCAACGCGCTACCGTTGACGGTAGCGGCTGTGTGATGATGCTGAAGGAAGAGTAAGCCGGTCACCATCGCTGCCATCATCGCTGTCGTCGTCGTCGTCGTCGTCTGACGACACCATAGGCTGCTCATCAGACTGCGGCGTAGCTGTTCCGCCGACCGATCCGCGTCTATCTTCTTATGACCGACGTTGGTGTGTATCTCCTACCCCCTGCGATGTGCTCTCTTTGCTCACAGCCCCCTTGTCCCCTTACCTTTCTGCACCCTATTGCATTCAGATCACCTTGCTCAAACGATCCCATCCCCATCTCTTGGTCATCCATCCCTCACAGAAGCAAAATGTTCCTTCTTCCATAGTCGCTGTTCTGCGAGCACGCACATATGTCATGTGTCTAGTTCTAATTGTCATTTTTCCCTAATCATTACTATTTCCTTTACCGTTTTTTGTGAGCCGCCGCAGCAGTATTCCCCATACGGGGACTCTTCCCACGTGTCGACTCCTCATGGGACCCATGGCCCCGTTCTCAGTGATATATAATTAGTATTTGTTTTGTTTTTTTTTATTTTCAATTTTTTTATGAGAGTCGCGGTGTCGTGTCTAATAAGCGCATAATTACCGGTAACTGAGCTGTGTGTTCCCTCAGAGCTCAGCAATTTGTTCATTGTCGTCTTATATAATATTAGGTCGTGTGTGATTTTGAGTGTCTGGCCACAGGTCAGATTTCAGGCCAGCTTTGCAAAGCAAACGTTGGCCTCGCGCTCCGTCGGTCTACAGCGTTCGCTGTTCTGTTCTTGTCTCGTCTCTTGTACATTTCGATTTTTGTGCTGTTTCTATGGAAAGTAGAAATAAATGTGCTTATTGTTGTAAAATGTATCTCATTCATAGACATAGAATTTCAGACGTTGGTTCTGACGAAGAAGTCTAAGACGAAAAACTAACGCTAAGCGTCTCGAGTCACGACGTTTAGCTTGTGATATAGCTGCTGTGAACGGTTAGACGCTGCCACAACGTTATAGAAAATGCCACTTTAATAAGCAATGTGCTACTCCCCAAAATAATTTACCTCTACAGCAATTTCTTCGAAACAGGCTTAAGGACAACCAGCGTATAACAAAGGTTGCATCATATGTCCTTACGAAACAGCAGGTGATTGCGCCCTGATAGGCGTGATCAACCAGATGAAATGCCAGACATGTGGGTCAACATACATCGGAGAAACGGGAAGACAACTAGCTACAGAATAAACGAGCACTTAGCTAGTATGAAGCACGGCAGCTTTATGAAAGCGCTTGGAAGACACCAAATTGAGCAGAACAGCGGCAACAACTTTGAAGTAAAGTGCACGATATTAGAGCAGGAGACGAAGTTTCCAGCGAGGAAGGCATTAGAGGCGTTCTGAGTTTTCCAAAAAAGAATCCTAGAATGAACGGTATATATCAGTGCCAACCATAACCAACGATCCTATGCCGTTTATACTACGCTGCGACTTGTGACTGATTGTGATCTTTGTCTGAAGTATAAAGGAGACAGCAAAAAGTTTTGTACTATACTAACTGTGGGGACACCGTATTTTTATTTCCACTTGAGTGGTGGAACCTTGGTAAGTTATACTTCGAATCATATGTTCTGAATTCGTCGTCTCTCTTGAGTTGCTATTACTCCATATAAGGTATCGTCGTAACGTTGGGCCGTTAACTTAATGAATCGTTTCACCTAAAAACCACGGCACAAGAATATTCTATTTACAACAACTACCGAGATAGAAGCAAGGAAGAAGTTGGATACTATGTTGGTCCCTTAGTTCCCACTGGGTGCATTTAGTCTCCACTGGAGTGCTTTATTTCCACGACCGACCGCCAACCGAAGGCGTTGTTAGGCACGTGTTGACAGCGCTGGACACCGATGCATCACGCGCCTTCACGACTCTCGCGGCAATGAAAGCAATCTGTCCTGCGTTGACAACACGTGGCCACGGACGCCGTCTGTCGGTCAATAGAAACAATGCATTTGGGTGGAGTCTGAAGGCACCCATCGGAACTTATGACACAGTGAACTAATGCAATTGCAGATGCTCGAATTCGTTTGGCTGGCTCGACTTCCATGAATGTGGACCACCTTATTACTGCCCCACCTGCTTTTATTTTTTTGTAAAAAAAAA